CTTGTTGAAAACCGCAAGTCCAATTGCTTTGATATTACATATATAAGTACTACATGTGGACCTCTCTCAGATTTGTTCATTTTGTAATGATATCTTCAATTCTCTAATTTTGGTGAATATTTTTGTCATTTTTGGTAAAAAGTGATATTTTCGACTTCTTGTTGAAAACCGCAAGTCCAATTGCTTTGATATTACATATATAGGTACTACATGTGGACCTCTCTCAGATTTGTTCATTTTGTAATGATATCTTTAATTCTCTAATTTTGGTGAATATTTTTGTAATTTTTGGTAAAAAGTGATATTTTCGACTTCTTGTTGAAAACCGCAAGTCCAATTGCTTTGATATTACATATATAGGTACTACATGTGGACCTCTCTCAGATTTGTTCATTTTGTAATGATATCTTTAATTCTCTAATTTCGGTGAATATTTTTGTAATTTTTGGTAAAAAGTGATATTTTCGACTTCTTGTTGAAAACCGCAAGTCCAATTGCTTTGATATATTATACATATAGGTACTACATGTGGACCTCTCTCAGATTTGTTCATTTTCTAATGATATTTTCTGTTCTTTTATTGCCATGTGCATTGCTAACAGCGGAGCTATCTCAGCCGACAGGCTGCTTGTTTAAATAAACTATATTCATGATTTTTTTCACTACATGTAACCAAATAGAGCATTGATATGTGGTGGGAGCTTTTTAAGAATTAATGACTCTAAATCACCACTTTCATGAATATTTGACCACATGTGTCTTGTGCAAAAACAACTCACTTAACACACACCATGAATCTGCCAATGTAATTTTTCTCATTCACCAGGCAATGTTTGTTTGTCACTTATTAAATGATTATTTGAATTAATAATTTTATGAATTAGTCAGCAATCAAAATATTCACACTTTGTATTCGTAAATACAACAGGGAACACTGAAGCTACATTTAAGAACAAAGTGACCATATGGCTTGACAGCAACTCTGACAAACCACATCCCATTCTTTGAAAAATGATATTAAAATTCAAAATACAATAAAGGAAGCATTTCTAATTGCATGTACATGTAGCACCAACATTTTATGTAAATTTTATATCAAATAAAGTTACTTATTGTGATAGGTCTGCAATGTTCCTCATTAAACAGGAAATCACTGAAAATTAGTTCAATTATTACAAGGAAATTAAAGTCAAATTGTACCTATTATACATAATACATGTCAGAACACTTTAATGTGCATGTGAAGCTAATTCTGTATTCATATACAAATAAACATCTCCATAATAAACAGTTTCACCCTTTGAACGCCAAAGTCAGCTTTTGTTACCAATAAACCTGCATATTACGGTCAATATGAAATGACATCCATCCATAATTAACAAAAAATATAATAAATAAATCTGAAATATTTCAACAAAATTCAAACAAATATTCCAATAATTAGGTTTGGTGAATGAACAGTTAAGTTGTATATTCTTAGAAATTTCTTAACATAATTATATAAAAAAATTAAAGCCGCAAGCGGCGTCACCGGGGCCCAAGCTGACAAGATTCTGTTTCATAATTAATGTGGTCACATGTTAGACAATCAGGTAGCTTGTATTATCAGTAACATGAGGTCGAAATGAAGTTGGTACCATGTATTTACGTGGTTTGGTTATCGAAATAGGGTTTTCAGGATATATAATGAGCCATGTTCTTATGCACAATAATGAGATTACATAATCATATATAGCCATTTCTAATGTCAGTTACATTTTTCATTCAATGTCTTCATAATGACACTAGTTACATGTCCTGCTCTGCGACAGTGTTTCAGATATGACTGCTATTCATATTAATGAGTTCACATGACCATATATGGTCATCTGTTATTTTAATCAAATCTCTTGTTCACTGTTGTCATAATAACACAGGATTCATCTTCCTAATTGCAACAGTGTTTAAGATATAATGGTTATGCATATTAATGAGCTCACATAACCATAAATGGTCATTTGTTATTTTATTCAAATCTCTTGTTCAACGTTGTCATAATAACACAGGATTCATCATTCTAACTACAACAGTGCTTGAGTTATAACAGTTATGCATATTAATGAGGTTAGAAGCCCTCACCCCATGGGTTCCCAGCCACGTGGCCTATCAGTGTGATATTGGGGCAAAATGATGCATCTGATGACACAAATGCACATACAAAATTTGAAAGAAATCAGACTAATACAAAACATGTAGTTGCATATTTTCTAATTTCACAAAATCCAAGATGGCGGCCAAACCACGTGACTGATCAAAATAATACTATTTTTCTCATATGGAGATAAGGCCAGGCATGGTAAATATAAAAACATCTAGTAGATTGGTTGAATCACCTCTGAGAAACAAATACCCACAGTTTTGGTCAATTTTGCTTAAAATGCAAGATGGCAGCCAAACCACGTGACTGATCTGAAATCTTTTTTTGGTTTCTGAAAGGGTTTGATATACAGATGCCATGAAGCAAAATTGAAAATAATCCCTCAAGTGTTGCCAGAGTAAAAAACTACCTCCTGTTTAGAAGAAATCCAAAATGGTGGCCAAACCACGTGACCAATCGTAATAATTTTTTCAAACATAAATGGGATTCATACATAGAAGCTAAATACTACATATGAGAGCATTCTGCTAGGTGGTTCTGAAGAAGAAGATTTTTAAGTGTTTTTTGCCGTTTTTAGGAAAAACAAAATGGCGGGAAAAGTCACGTGACCGCTAAAGTTTTTATTGCTGATATTTATTACACATGAGTTGTACTATATACCATAAAAAAATCTAGACGCCTAGACCCTCAGAAAGTGGTCAAGCGACCACTTCCGGTTTTATTTCAATCCAATATGGTTGCCAAACCAATTGACCAATCAAAATTCTGAAAGTCTTATACACCAGTTCACAATACAGACTATAAGTTTGGAGATTATCACACTATTCTGTTCAGCAGTTTTCTAAAAAAACTTGACGAAAGGAGTTGCGGAAGAAAGAAAGAAGAAGAAGAAAAAACCGGACGATAATAATAGGGGCCTCGCCCTTCGGGCTTGGGCCCCTAAAAAAATTGTAAATGATCCATTGTTAAAGCCCCAATGTAAATAACACTTTGTAGCATAGTTTTTTTAGTGACCTTTCATGAATAGTTGGAATGTGTATCCTTGCCAATAATTAAATATGTAGGATTTGAAAAATTACTCAGCCTATCCACTCTTATAATCAACCTACATCTTGAGGCAATAGAGGTATTTAGTGTACATATAGATGTAATATCTACACTTGCAGTTCTCAATATTTGTGTATAAATATCTGATTGATGTGATGGCAGCTGTGATTCTGAGTTACAGGTTTTAATTCCATGACCCTGATTGACATTGGCAACTGACTTAAAATAGCTGCTCTTTACTTATCTCTGATATTTTCCTGATCACATTCTGTATTTGCCTGTCAGACAGGTACACAATTTCTAGCACAGTAGATTGCCAAGATTTTTGTACTTGTAATATCTGACACATGGCATGCAATTTAATATTACCAGTATATTACTCTGAATAATACAAGAAACAATATATAGAATCACTACCATGTGTTTATTTGTGAGATACTGTGCAATAATACCATTACAAAATGTTGGCATGTACATTGGAATACAGCAAAAATGTCAGTACTTAGAGTTGACCAAATGCATAGGGAAGATTTTGATTAAAACAAATTTACAGTAGGTAAAAGAAGCACACATACAAATATTACTGCATTAACAAATAAAATTGATTTTGTAGGATAGAAACTTGTCAAGGCCAAACAACCCCACGCCATCCCACCCCACCCCACAACACTGTGAATTGAGTTTTTTTTTATCACACATAAATTTTTTGACATTGTCCCTAATACAAGATAAACTCTAATAGTAATAAGAAAGACAATTGCAATACAGATTACACTCAACTTGTCATTTGCGATAACCCAGAAATTGATATTTGTAATTTTGTATTTCTATTTAAAAATATCTCTGGCACACATTTCTAATGGCAGACAGACAGATTTTTTTTTTCTCTCGGCTTTGCTAGATGTCCTGTGTTATACCTGACACTACCTGTAAGCTTACATAGTGAACGACCTCTAAACAGATTACTAATCATGTTATATGTTCTTAAATTTCAAAGTAGAAACTTTATAGGAGTAAACACCCATAGTGCTTGTATGCTACCATTACATATGTAATGTATGGAATAAACTTTGTGTGATCAAAAACAATGTTAATACATCTACAACCATAGTACTGTATGCTACCCATAGACTATATAACAAATCCAAATTTTAGTGCATTGTGGGATAGTTGATTCAAGTTGCATGAACAGCCACGCTTTGTGATTGGCGGAATTGTGTTTGACCTTTTGGTCAAAACTATCCCACAATGCACTAAAATGTGGAATTCTATGTGTATATCTAGTATAATTTGTGTGAGTTTTAATTTGCTAAGCATATAAATTTGATTGTCTATCAAAATGTTACAAATAACCAATGGCTTACAATGTCTATTATAACTTATTAATCCTGTTAGGAAAAACACTAAAATCATAAACCATAATATATAATGTATGTATAATATATATAGGATAAACCATAGTGAACAGTTGATGAACACCATTTTGACTTGCAGATTTGACTCAAGATGGCCAACTGGTGGCCATTTTGTTTTTGACAAATTTTATTATAGACATATGTGTTGTACATGCTTTGAGCAATTCACTTCTTTAACTAGAAATTCACAAAATTATACTCAGACAGTACATCATCGCATACATCCACATATTGACTATTTTAATTGTAAAAAAATACTAAACTCAGGTACTGTAAAATACTTTTCTCTTGGAATTGATTTTCGCTGAAGGAATGATTCAGTGAAAATAAAACCTACCGAATATACCTTTTTCCTACATTTTACATTCAACTCGTCAAAAATCAGGGAAAATATATTCCATAAAAAAAAATTAATTCCAGCTAAATTAAGTATTTTACAGTATTTTGATATGTCCAGAACCAAACCTTGGGCATGTGTTTTTCATGTGATTTTCTTCAAACTTGGTGGTAATTATTACTGGAGCTTGATGCATTTCAGCTTGATTTGTATTAATGCAAATCCCAGCGATTATTTAATTTATATCCTCACCCAGTCTAGTTTGTAGCCATCTTAAATGCTTTTTCTGTGGACATGGTTCTAATAGTTATGCTATATATTAATGCTGTGGTACTGGAGTTTCCAACTAGTATGCAGGTGATGTTATCTCAGGAGTTCAGTTGTATGATATGCTATGCTAAAATCATTGTTTTGTCTTGCAGTGTATAACTGGACTGTTGAAGATACTATAGTATGGCTTGTTAATTCAGTAGACTTGCCACAATATACAGACACATTCCAGAATAATGCAGTGGATGGACCAATGTTACCAAGGTGTGTACAATATATGTCTAGCAATACCTTCATACAAGATTATCTTCAGTACAGTTATTTTTAGTCGAGGTCAGAAGTTTTCATAAGATTGCTCAATACAGTTTCATGGAATGCTGTTAATTCCCCGTAACTTTGTGTGTATGTCTATGGTAGGAAATGTTTTGGTTCTTCCATTGTCCGGAACACTTGTACTCGTCATTTCAGGAAATTTTGTTTTTGAAGCCCAAATTAGAGTTAAAATCATTGAGAAATCTGAGGTGAATGAACTACGAACATCTGCTAAATAATTAGGTGGTCAGACTTTTAGAGTAGGTAAAAATGATTTTTCTAAAATATGACATTATAACAGCTAAAAGTCAGTTATTGTGATCAGCTAAGATATAAACACAGATTATGCGTTGATGGACTGTAATGGCAAAAAGCAGTAACAGCCTGGAAATGAAACCTTAAAATGACATTGGCTTATAAACCCTTGTAATGCTTAATTAACTTGTTCTGTTCACCATTAATTTATTATGCTCAATGCCATATCTATTGGCTACAAGTTTACTGTTAAACATAAGTAATCAAGGCATATTTAATTTTTTTTTAATTTTTCAGGATAGCGGTGAATAATGGGCATTTTCTTTCCACTATTCTTGGTATAAAAGATTCTGTAAACAAACATAAAATAATCTTAAAAGCCATGGATGTGGTGTTATTTGGTGCTCCTAAACGTAAGTATTTGCATGTATTTTCCACCCCTATTTCTACAAACTCCAATCGCAGTGAGCTGATTCTTACATGAAGTGATTTAGAGTCCCGAGTCCTGAGCTCATACAGTACTTCCATAATGATTTCAACAAAATTCCAGAAACAAATTATTTGAGGGTCAGGCTAGGTGGGTACGATTGGTGTGCTGATAACATAATTTCTTTCTTTTGACAGTCAAACATAATTATGTAAAAGACACGATACTGGTGTTATCGTTATTGATTGCTGTTGGTGGGTGCTGGTTTGCCTATGTACAGCATAAATTTTCACAACGTCACATGAAACAAATGATGAAAGATATGGAATCTTTACAAACAGCTGAGCAATCACTTTGTGAACTTCAAGAAAAGTAAGTGTGTTTCCAATTATCCTTGTAGTAGACTTTTAGGGAAAATAATACTTCTGTACTCAAACTCACTGATGTACATTAAACTATTCTGTATACTAGTTTCTACCATCAAGCATCTCTGGTGAGAATGGCTAGGGGCATTGAAATTATCAAAGTTAAAACAAACACCTCTAAGAATGTTTCAGGGGAACTTATCAGATAGATAGCGGTTTTTCATGATCAGTTTGTTTTGACGTCTGTTGTAAAACATTTGTTCAGATTGCAGCTTGCCCACCAGCAAAAGAAAACTGTGATTGAAGAGAAACACAGCCTTGAAGCCAAAATGAAAGATGAAATTCTTGCTGTGAAAGCTGAAGCTGAAAAACTGTCAGAAGCTAAAGATGATACAGATGGTGAATTAAGTAGACTAAGACTAGCTGAACAAGAGTTACAACAGGTGATGAATTATCTGTTTTGTTAACGGTCTTCAATAATATTATTCTGCTACTGCTAGACCAAAAACACTGGAAAAGCATTGCTATTTTGTCTGCTGACTTTTGTAAAATTTTGTTTTCATGAATGTCATTAAATCGTGAATAATTCTAGCAATAATAATTAAACAGATCACTGTATATCATTCACATTAACTTGGTACACTGTATTCAGTCAAATAATGAAGTATCATGTTGATCAATTATTTCCAATGTTTTTCAAAGTTAAATATATTTCAATATTTCTGTTTTCCACTGTCAAGTTTTGATGCTTTCTGATGCATACTTCTGAGAATAGGTGTCACTGCCATTAAATATTTTGATATGGTATAAAATCTTGTTGGATGCTAAACTGCTTGTGAATTTGACAGTTGAGTTAGTTTGTTTGATTCTTATTTATAGGTGCGTTGTGCGCTAAGGAAAGCAGAAATGGAGTTAGAAAGTAGAAGTCAGTGGCTGGCACCACCAATATTACAACAGTGGTTACAGTTAACACATGAAGTAGAATTACAATATTACAATGAAAAGAAGACATCAGCTGAGAGACAATTAGCTGCAGCCAAAGAAGGGGTAAGCTATGTCTACAAATTGCTTTAACACATTGTGTGCTTAAAACCTCCAATGGATAGCTAAAATGAATGGGAAAAATTGTACCAGGTGATGTTTCCCTGTGAACTACTCTCAATGAACTTTGATTTCTATATGATTGCACACATTTGTATTACAGTGAATTCACATTACAACTACATGTACATATTGTGAGAAAAGGTTGCCTAGCTACTGCTATAACCATCAATATGATGCTAGTACATGCTTCATTAGTTCATCTGTTGTTATATTTCAGTGTGAAAAATTGCGCAAGAAACGCAATGCATTCATGGGCTCATTTCGTATTGCTCATGGCAGTTCATTAGATGAAGTGGATCATAGAATACTAAGTGCAAAGTAAGTTGAGCAGTGAATTCATGTACGATATTGGGTAGACTGTACCATAGTTTCACATTTTCACCTCCTTCCCTCCCTCTGTTGTGTAAGCACTGCCCCTAAAATCTGCCCCAGTTATATAAAAGGTCATGACAATATCTATAACTGTGGTAGTTGGGTGGTTAGGGTAAGTACAAGATACTGGAGGGGGGGGGGTCATAGCCTTAACTCAAAATTGAATGTTTATTGACTTTTAATATGGCTGTTTCAATTTATACCCCTTTTCATAATGAAATTTATTGTTTTTACTGTAAGTATTCCCACACTGGTCTTTACGCTGATTGTAAATCATTGCTGTATTCATATATAATATCTAAATATGGTTGTATTCATATACATTCTGTAAACTGCAAGTATAACTGTAAATTACTTGTAAATTGGCATTATCTCATATACTTTGTAAACTTGCAGTTTTTTGGCATACACCAGAGCTTGCACTTTGGTCCTGCAGCTGTTGCTGGTGCAACATCTTGACTTGACTAGGAGATAAAGTTCTTTCTCAATGAGAATGGCATGTCAAACCCACAGTATCAAACACAATGGGTAGAGCATGTCTCAGCTATTGGGTACTGTAAAATGACTAAATTTCAGTCGGTTTAAATTTCACTGATTTACCATTTTAGGCATATTCAGTGGGTTTTAATTTCACGGTTTTATCATTCAGATAATGTTCTCTATGCTCAATTTTACATATTCCCTCTGGGTTTTAATTTAGCGCATTTTCCAGTTAGCGCAATAAGCAACATTAAAACCCAGTGAATAATTAACCCTTTTTACAGTATTTGCTTGGTTCTACATAATTGTCCAATTGAGAAAGCAGATAGTATTTAATAATTATGTAAATTTACCTCAATTCTCAATGCCCTGAGCAAAGCAACTGCTTGCTGAATCTCTCATGACAAGTTTTTGACATGCTTTTAAGTCTGTGGATCATTGACTACCTGTACTTGTCATCTTGCTTTCATGTACACTATAGAAGCACGCATAAAACAAAATTATTGGATGATTAAAATGTGCCATTGTTTGTCCATATATAGACACACATATTCTGTTCATGTAAGTGCATGGCATGGTAGATTGATTTCAGTTGAAGATAGTATTGTGTGTATATCTCACATTACAATCATCTTATTACATAGGAATGCCTTGTCAGAAGTGACAGCTAATTTACAAGAGAAATTATACAGATGGAGTCAAATAGAAAGTTTGATGGGTGTACCTATTGTTAGTAATGCAGGGCTTGCTGTACTCAGCCAAGCCTTGCATTCTGATAGTTCCACAACACCAGGAGCACAGTCACCAATTAGTACATCAAGTAAGTCTACACACTTAGTAGTACTAGTAAATTTCTCCATTTATCTTTCCAGCATTATACCTTTCTGCACTTGCATTATCCTTCAGTATCTGGTATGTTGTTGACCATTTAGCTCTCTTAACCCTTTCAATGCCTATCTCATTTAATGTCAACTTTCACAAATAAGTCCATGA